CCATCACGGGTATCGAAACCCAGTTTCTAGCGTTGTAAGTCCACAGACATGTTGCTGTGCCTCTGCCCACTACGGGTATCGAAACCCAGTTTCTAGCGTTGTAAGTCCACAGACATGCCACTGTGCCTCTGCCCACCCGGGTATCGAAACCCGGTTTCTAGCGTTGTAAGTCTGCAGACATGCCGCTGTGCCACTGAGGGGCAATACAAAAGGTGCTATTATAACAAGTATTGTGTAGGAAGCAATGTAACAAAAATACAAACCTCATTAGTTAATTTTTGTAGTGCATATTGATGTACAGAAGATCACCTAAAAGACAACAATAAATTCAGTGACCACAGAAAAAAAGAGAGAGAGAGAGAAGAAAGCTAAAGAGATTATCTATGAACTTATAAAAATAAGTAACCTCCCTAAGAAGCTACTAGATGAACTCAAATCTTCTAATAGCCGCATCCCAGAGTTATATGGTTTACCAAAGAAACATATACCGGACATGCCCCTAAGATCCATAGTCTGAAAGTCTGTCTTGGCTTATGCATACAATTTTGGTGCTGTTAATAAATTTCGTTCCAGTCCACTTTAATAATACACAAGATTGGCTATGGCGAATCAAGGATGAACCTCACATAGTGATCAACACAGCAATACTCTTTACATTGGACGTTGTAGCTCTCTACCCTTCTATACAGACAGAAAATGGCGTCGGTTCAGTGTGTGAGTTCATGTCGAATCACATAACCAATTTGGAGATGCACGGACTGAAAACAGACACTGTCAGAGAGATCTTACATTCCATCCTTCACTATGGATTATTTCGTTTTGACAAAAACTATATCTCCAACTAAGTGGTGTCTCAATGGGTAACATAATCGCTGTTATTTATGCCGTAATACTTATGCACAATTTTGAAACAATGGCACTTGACAAGTGGCATCAAGATACCAACACCGGCCCTGATCTCTGGCTTAAATACATCGATGACGTGTTTGGACTATGGAACCATAGTTTTCCTTCTTTAATCCAATTTTAAGACTTTCTAAATTCCATAGACCCCAACATCCAACTCACCCTGAATCATTCGAATGGCAAGAGAACCATAGACATTATTGACGTTAGCTTAAGGATCGACAATGACAATAATATACAATCTACCTTGTTACACAAACCCATTAGAAAACCTCTTTTCCTTAACTTCAACTTCCATTGTCCCAAAGCTTCCAAACATTGCGCAGTTATTGAAGAATTAAACAGAATCGATCACAACTGTAGTGAAAAATCTAAAATAAAATCAAACTACAGCTTAGCAGATTTGATGGCAGCAATACAAGAACAGCAAAAGAAACAAGAAGAACGAGAAAAGAAACAAGAAGAGAGACTACAGCAGTGGTTGGAAGAGAAAGAAAATAAACAAGAGAGACTACAGCAGTGGTTGGAGGAGAAAGAAATTAAACAAGAAGAGAGACTACACACACACTCTAAAATAAAATCACTTCTTCTGAGCAATGAATATCCATCTTTTTACATTGAACACATTTTCAATGACTATGACGCGCAAAAGTCAGCATCGCACTTCCAACATACGAAAACACAGATAAACAAGGAGGAAAAACCAATTTTCCAAAGACAACATAAAAAAGGTTATTTTTATAACACATCCATATTGACGAAGCTATCTCCAAGAAAATAAAAACTATAATCAGGAAATCTGAACTGCCTATTAATGTTATAGGACGGCCAGGTCCAACGCTAAATTGCCAAATTTCAAAATCTCAGTACACTACCCTACAATCTAATAAGCCAACTGTTTTAAAAAAACAAAAACGTGTTTGCAATCTAAAGATGAAGGTCTTGTCTCCAATGTTGTTTGTCAGCTTACATGTAACATCTGCCATCATATGTACACAGGGAAAACCGGAAGAACCCTACCCACAAGGATAGGAGAACATATTGATGCTCGTTATAAACAACAATATGAGAGAAGCGCAGTAGCAAATCATTTTGTAGCTAATCATGGACAAGTAACACCTGACTTGAAACCACCAAGTACACTGAAAGAAAATTCAAAGAAGCTCTTCTTATCAAACAATTACGACCACAGATGAATAGGGTCAAAGGATGGCGCTTATAATTTTAATTATTTTATTTTTTGTATTTTCGTGGAATGCTCCTGAAGAAGCTGTTAAGAGAAACGTTGAGTGTCTAATTAAATAAAAACAACAATATGGTGTTATAACGTCGTTTATTTCAAATGTTAAAAATACAAAACCCAATAGCCAAAGTGCTTTCTAAAGTTGGACCATTCTTCACCAGTTTTCTTTGAACTAAGTGTTTTCCTAACATCACGAATGTAGAGAAATGAAATGATGTCACTGTGTGAAAATAAACAACTTCGGTTGAAATACTATTTATTCCAACTTCAAGTACATTCATAAGTCGTATTACATACAAATATATAGTATTAGTAGTAGAACAAAATTTCCTTGAATGACTTTAACTTTATCATAGTATATGTATTTAATATTGTTACGTATCTGCTTGTTTGTTAATTTCCGGTAGAAATTCTTTC